GCCGTGAAGAACTTCCGGTAAATGCTAATGAAGTGACTCTCAGAGCAGCTGGAGATGACATTCGTGTTCATATCATCATATAGTGAGATGGCAGAAGCTGAAAACACCGCGAGCGTCATCCGCGCTTTAGTATGTGTGTAGTAAACAAAAAAAGTGCGCCGCGCCATCCTCCATTCATTCATGGCGGAAATCATGGCGCCTTATGCGTGATATCAGATGCTTCCGCAGATTTATAGTATTACTATAGCATTTCACCTGAACATTGCAAATTGCGTGTATGGCCATGATAAGTGCTGAATGAATGACAGGATTTCTGTTGTAACATCGCGCAAGGTAAATAAGGGTGACATCTAGTGGAGAAGACTAATGATAAGATTCACGTTAATCAGATCTTGTTTTAAATGTGTGCTGAAATAAATACCGGAAAAGATCGATTCGCGGCTTTTGAGAATCAATATCGAATCGACGTCATTTAAAAAATGATTAATCGGAAAATCTATTTTTTTGCCCAGCCCTTATATATATATATATATATATATATATATATATATGTATATATTAGGGATGTGCGGGTCTAGTCGAAAACAATAGTCGATTACACGACAGAAAAAAAGAAAAGAAAAACAAAAACATGATTTTATCATTCAAATTACCATCATTTTAACATTGCATTTAAAACATTTTAAATAAGTTAAAATAATACGTTTGAAAAAGAATACATTATTTTTAAAAGTTTATCTGGGCGGAAACTACATTTTTACCTCAGACCTCACATGCGTTTTCTTCTTGTCAGTTGCGGCGAGCTCAAAAATGACCATGCGAAAGACGAGAAGGTGTGGGATTATTTTGAATTAGAAGGAAACTGAAAAATGTTGTGTAAACTGTTTAATGTCAAATTGTCTTACAATAACTCTACTGGAGCGATGCGTAATCATATTCAATACAGGCACGTAGGCGTTAGCTTAGAGGCTTGCCAAAGCCAGAAAATGTCAATCACGTCATTCACTACAACCTGCCGGTGCTGCGATCCCATCCGTGCCGTCTATTCTTCTAACGAACACCCACTTCGGTGGTGGTGCGGGATGTCCAGGCCAGTGTTGCCAATTTGAGGATTTTGTCGCCAAATTTAGCTACTTTCTCATTGTAGCTGGGACTTTTTTTCTCTTTTTTTGCGACAAGGAGCTATTTTAGCTATATTTAAATAAAACTAGCGATTTTTTTATTTTTTACTTGGCCACACCCTGCCGTAGGCCCGTGACCTCTCACCATTGCTCTCAATCATGCCAACAGGTGCGTTCGACTTCATGCAGCACTGCGCAGTACGATCGGCGGCTGACTTGAAGCAGTGCATGCCGGTTATAAATTTAGTCTGACTTGAACCGACGCCACGTCACTGTCATGTGTGGCATCGAAGTACCGCGAGAGCATTTCGAGAGCAGCCGGCTGATTCAGCTGGCGCAGCTTTTTTTTTAATTTATTGCATATGAACATATATAACAATAATAGAAATACAACTTTGCATATAAATGCCAGCTGGCGCAGCTTTTTCAGAGCGACTGCAGGAGTGCTGATGATAACACAGCTGTTTCACCATTGGCCAAATTCGTGAACATGACAACAATGACACGTGTTTCTAACATCTTCAAATCCAATACTGCTCATAAATCTGTTTTTAGAACAGTAAAAGCTTTTTTACTGTAGTCGCAATGTTATATTGAGTCACGTTTATCATGAAAGCATATATATCCCCACTTCATTAGTATTTAAATAGTATATATTTACGTTGAACTTTATTCTTGAACAGATGGCGCTGTATTAAGCAGTATATAAAAATTGTTTCTGTTGCTCATGAAAACGTTTCTGAAACGTCTGTGTATTTGACAAATATTGCATTTAATTCACTTCATCTGTGATAGAGTATGCAAACACCGCATGAGCATCACTAACAGGAGCAGAAAGTGTCCAGCTTGACGGCTCCGTTTTCAACTCCGCCCCCGCCTGCAAGCGTCTACTCTCGCTGATCGCCATCTGTAGCTGTGCTTCAAGTCGAAACGCACCTATTATAAGCATCAATCAAGATGGCGGAGAATTTTTTTTTGTTTTAACCACAGACACAAAAGTTATACCACAATTCATGCACAGTCATGTCAACCAGATACTGAGAGAGAGACACAGTGCATCATCGTGTCGTGTGCTGGGATGCAGTATTTTGCACTTACTTTGTAGTAATAGAGTGCGTTGAAATAAGTTTGTATTAATAAAGTTTTTGTTTTTGGAGAATCATAATATCTCTTATCTGTTATTTACCTGTATTTACTTTGTTTTCATATTTGGCGACTTTTTGTGAAAATGGAGACTTTTGAGGGTGGTTCTAGAGATTTTCTGAGGGAGGGGTTTGGCAACACTGGTCCAGGCACTTTCTGAAACTCTGTCGGCTTGCTTTTCGTTATCTCTGCGTGTCCGCGACTTCAGTTCCTGCCGAGCGCGTTTTTTCAAATGCAGGAATTTTATTGTTAATCGCCTCAGGTCCCGTCTTTCACCAGACCACGTTGATAATTTCACTGAACAAATAACGCATGGTCTGAGTAAGTAAAATGGGCATTGTTGCATTGTTTTGTTTTTAGACGATACACGAAGTACGTTTTTAAAAGACGTTTTAATGCTATTTCTTGATAAACCTTGCTATTGTTTTTGACTTGTGTTTTAATATGTTGGCTAACGTTATTTGAAGATTAAGAATTCTGTCAGGCTATTGATTGATTTTCCATTGTTCTGCATTTCCCCAGCTGATTTGAATAAATAAGCTATGCTTTGGCCGACGTTGAGTGTATGCTCTTCTTGTTTTTTTCTTTTTAACGACTGCCTAAAATGAAATGATGATAACGTGAGGCAAGTGTGCGGCAAGCGGAATTCATTGAGGGATTTGACAGTGTAATTCATAGATTAAGTATTACAAATATAGGTTATTATAAATGCTACACGCACGCACAGAGGTTTGTGTCTTTTTGGGGGGTTTCTTGCTTTTAGACTAGTCGGATACAAAACTTTCGTTTAAAAGACAGCCAAATTAGTCGTCGCCCACATCCCTAGTGTGTATGTATGTATGTATGTATGTATGTATATATATATGTATATATATA